AGGCTCCTCCAAGGAAAAGAGGGCAGGGGCTCCTTTTAGAGCCCCATCTTCTAAACCAGATGCTAAGTCAGCAGCGCAGCTTACCAAGGGCAGCATTTTCACCACTCCATTAAAATTACAGTTGTCTCCATTTTGAAACAAAAGGGAATTTGAGTTGAGGCTCCCAATCCCCCACACCACAGCACTGTGGGATAAGGCGACAGCAACCAAGCAGCACACTAGACATTTCTGGACAAAATCTGGCTAAAGACACTCAAATCCCCCCCCATACCAGAGGCACCCCCCAATAGATCTCTTACACCAGCCAGGAGCCAGGTGATCCCTGAATTGCTGTGAGCTCCAGGGTGAAGCCTGAATGAAAGCATACACTAGATGGGGAATAAGATGTTACTCCTGGGACTGTGAACAGAAGAACTTTGAAAAGAGACCTTTCTCAGGCCTGAAGTTGTTATCACTGAAGACAAGGATCAGGATCAGCTTGTCTGCACAAATCCCATGGGTGGGGGTGTCTCATAAATAGAGAAAGGAGATGTGGAAAAGGAGAGGAATACAGACACCAGTAGGTTCTTCAAAAGGCTCTGTTAGAATGTAAAGCACAAAAAAATTCACTTATTCTTTCAAAACATATCAACGGCATTCAAGTCACTTGTCCTTGGAGATGCATCAGTGACAGCAATAGACACAACCCTTGTCGTGACCCTGGATGTAACAGCCTGGCGTGAAAGACCATATGCCAAGGACCTGGCTTCCAGCTCCAGTTTCCTTCCCAGAGCCACTACTCAGTTTCCACATCTATAAAATGGAAGTGCCAGGTGCTTTTTATTGCCCTACGGAGCTCTGAGAAGGAGACAGAGATGGAAATTTCTTGTTTAATTTGAATTAAAATATAACAGGAGATATATACCTGCAAAGAATCGAAGGCAGGACTCATGTTCATTAGTTCATAGCAGCATTTTTCACAACAGCCAAACAGTGGAAGCAACTCAAGTGTTCATGGTGAGATGGATGGATAAGCTAAAATATGGTATATCCATTCAGTGAAATATTAGTCAGCCTTAAACAGGAAGGAAATTCTGACATATACTAGGACATGGGTGAATCCTGAAGAAATCATGCAAAATAAAATAAATCAGACATGAAAGGACAAATATCATGTGATTCTTCTTAGATGAGGTTTCTAGAATAGGCAAATTCATAGAAACAGAAAATAGAATGGGGTTACCAGGGCCAGAGGGGAAGCGGCAATGGAGAATTATTGTTTAATGGGTAGAGTTTGTTTGGGATGAAGAGTTCTGGAAACAGACAATGGTGATAGCTATGCAATATCGTGAATGTACTTAATATCACTGGACTGTACATTTTAAAATGATAGATATTGTTATGTATATTTAGCACACATTGTATTTATGTGTGTGTGTGTGTATATGTATGTGTATATATATATATACACACACACACATACACATATAACCACTTAAAGCCCAGCTTAGTATTCTAGAATTTCTAGTATGAATCAGAAAACTTTGCAAGGAGTAGACGTGCATGGCCTGTTTAGTGAATGGCTCTGTGCCAGAGGTTAGATTTCTATCCCATAACACAAATCCAGGCTCTCAGAATAAGGAAGGCATTAACTTGGATCAGGTTACCCTAGAAATGACATCATCTGATCAAACCTCCCAGCCACTGTTCAAATCTTAGTCAATGCTACAAATGTAAAAACACAGAGGTGCCAGGTGAGTCCCAGAAGAGAGAGAAGAGACCCTAGAAGAGGGTGTAAGACATAGCTGCATGTAAAATGAGTTCTCTCTTAAAAGAGTAGCCACAGACCAGCTCCGCTATTGATACACAAGTCTGTAGGTTCAGTGTGGCCAGATCTTCAAATGCAAAAGCAAGCCCAAAATCTAGAATTTGAAAGCAAAAAAGGTAATCTGTTGGCAACTCATTAAAATCTTTTAAAAAATACACTGCTGCCGGGTACGGTGGGTCACGCCTGTAATCCCGGCACTTTGGGAGGCCGAGGCGGGTGGATCACGAGGTCAAGAGATCGAGACCATCCTGGTCAACATGGTGAAACCCCGTCTCTACTAAAAATACAAAAAATCAGCTGGGCATGGTGGCACACGCCTGTAATCCCAGCTACTCAGGAGGCTGAGGCAGGAGAATTGCCTGAACCCAGGAGGCGGAGGCTGCGGTGAGCCGAGATTGCACCCATTGCACTCCAGCCTGGGTAACGAGAGCGAAACTCCGTCTCAAAAATAAAAATAAAAATAAAATAAAAAATACACTGCTGTCCAAACCAAACACCTTTGTAGGTGAGAACAAACTCATAGACCACCTATTCATAAACTATGTTCTTCTAGATGTATGAGTGTTTGGCATTTGCCCAAATGCTTCTGATGACAGAGGAGCTCATTTCTTACTGATATTTTGATAAATGCTAATTTTTTAAAGACAGGGTGGTCTTACTCTGTCACCTAGGCTGGAGTACAGTGGTGTGATCACAGCTCACCGCAGACTCGACCTCCTGCTGGGCTCAAGCCATCCTTCCACCTCAGCCTCCCAAGTAGCTGGGACCACGGGTACGTGCCACCACCCCCAGCTAATTTTTGCATTTTTTTGCAGAGACAAGGTTTCACCATGTTGCCTGCACTGGTCTCAAACTCCTGAGCTCAAATGATCTGCCTGCTTCAGCCTCCCAAAGTGCTGGGATTACAGGCATTAGCCACCACGTCTGGCTGATAAATGCTAATTTTTAGGAAGATCTTGCTGTAAATAAAAAACTACCTTCTTGTAACTTACTCTTGCTGTGTTCCTGTACCCCCCAACATCCACTTGTCATCCTAAACAAGAGAGCAGTTACATCCCTGTTTGGCCAGTGCCATTTTCCTCACTGGAATCTGAGTTATTTGAGGACAGTGGTTAGTCTTTCATCTCAAAGTAAGGATAATAATAGCCAACATTTATTGAGCACCTATGTGCCAGACACTATTCTAAGCACTTTATAAGCATTAACTCATTTATCCCTTATGAGAGCACTATGAGAGAGGTCCTGTTATAACCACATTTCATAGACAAGAGGAAGATGGACAAGGGATGCTAAATCGGTTGTTCAAGGTCACACACCTAGTAAGCAGCAGAGCCAGAATTGGAACACAGACAGTCTGGCTCAAAGGTGATGCTCATAACACTCCGGTACTTATGGGGACTGTCACATTCATTCACTAATTGTCTGTTGATGTGAAATTAAGAAAAACAGTACTAGTTCCTTCTTCTGGAACCACAAAATGAACAGGGTTTCACAACACCAACTTTAGAGATGGATTCCAACATAAGAAAAGATGTAAAAATGAGAAAGGAGAAAGGAGGCCTTTAACAGTAGTCATGAAGCATCAAGTTAGACACTAAGCAGAGTGCCCTGATGTTGACAGCTTTGAGCCAACGGAATAGAGAAAGATATTCTTTCTTGCTTTGGAGATCCATTAAAAAAAAAAAACAAAAAAACCCAGAAAATATGGGGAAGACCAATGTTTCTAGGATGGCTTTTCCACCTGAAGTTATCCAGAGGGAGACATTACAAAGAAATGTGGGACTGGGCATGGTGACTCCCACTTGTAATCCCAGAGCTTTGGGTGGCAGAAGCAGGAAGATCACCTGAGGCCAGAAGTTCAAAAACAGCCTGGGCAACAAAGCAAGACCCCTGTCTCTACAAAAAAATTAAAAATTAGCCAGCTGTGGTGGCACATGCCTGTAGGCCTAGCTACCCAGAAGGCTGAGGTGGGAGGATGGCTTTGGCCCAGGAGTTCAAGGCTGCAGTGAGCTATGATCACATCACTGCATTCCAGTCTAGGTGACACAGCAAGAAAAAGAAATTAGCCTTCTAATTCCTACTCCTCCTGGGTTCCTGCAGGGAGCCTAGAACAGTGGTCTTCTGGGCATATGTGCTTACTGGTCTCATGGCATGTTGTATCACAGATCAAGGTAATTGGGGGCAAAGAGACCAAAGATTCACAGGTAAAACCCTGTATACTAAAATATAACTACATATGGGATGGGCATGCTGGCTCGTGCCTGTAATCCAAGCACTTTGGGAGACCAAGGCAGAAGAACTGCTTGGGGCCAGGGGTGGAAGGCTGCAGTGAGCTGTGATCATGCCACTCCACTCCAGGCTGAGCGACAAAGCAAGACTCCGTATCTTTAAAAAAAAAAAAAAAATACATGTGGTCAGAATTTGACAGAGGATATCCAGACTCAGAGCATTTTAGAGTGGGAAGGAGCTCAAGAAGTAATCTCATCTTATCCAATCTCCCATATCCAGAGAGAATGCCTTCCAATACATTCCAGACAGGTAGACATTCACTTCTTATCAACACCTGCCAACCACAGCTCTTGAATCAGCCCGCACAGCTTCAAAGAGAAGTGAATCACCGATAGCTGGTGCAGGGAGGAAGCCTGAAGGTTGCAGTCAGTTTGGGGGAAATTAGGGAGGACAAAATAACTTGATATGCAATTTGCTCAGCAAAACATTGTTTTGCATATCCACATGGACAATTGTGAATAAAGCCAGATCTGGTGTGATTCTGCTCCCTCCCGTGTGCTCTCGCCATTCATGCCATCTCCAGGCGGCCTCAATGTTAAGGAGGATGAGAGAATATGAACTAGACCTGAACCCAGCCCACATCCTGGGACCAAGTTTAGCTAACATGCCTCCTGAAGCAGAGATGCCCAAACCACCCCCCACAAACCCATTAGTGGGAAAATAATTAATGCTTATTATTGTAAGCCACTGAGTCCTGGGGCAATTTGTTACATAGCGTTACTGTAGCAACAGCTGACTAATACAGACTTGTCAGTGAATTGGGCATCTGTTGTTTTTGTCCCTCATCTTCCATGCACCTTTCCTGTCATCACCACCTCTGGATGTCCTCTGGAAACCACCTCCTCTCTATCTCTCAGTCCCTTACTTTGGGTAGGGCTCTGCCCCAGGCTCAGAGCCGTAGGACTAAGTTCATGGAGCACCACAGTCCACTGACCACCACAACTGGTTCAGGAAGAGACCCAGGTCCAATGAAATTGTTGCCAGGGATGCTGGGAGAGGCACAGACTCTCCTAATGGACTTGAATCCTGGATGGTGTAAGGCTGGAAGTTCTGCAGCCATCTTACAATCAGACAGAAGGGGTCTACCTGGGAATGGAGCCTGCCAAGAAGAAAGCAGAGCCTAGATATGGAGAGAAAGAGAAAAACCAGGTGTCTATCTTAAGCCCCTACATGAAGGCAGACCTGAAGGTAACTCTGCCCCATAAACTTCCCAGTTGTGTGACCTAAAAAAAAAAAAAAAAAAAAATTTTACCTTAACTTAAGCCAGTCAGACTGGACTTTTAGTCGCTTATGACTGAAGGATCCCTGACTCTCTTAAAATGCTTGCCTTACAACTAACCAACCCATTAAGAAATCTTTCTGGGGCAACTATGGTACCCCAAGAACCAGGATATACAGAGGGGGAAAAGTACATACCTGGCCCTTGCAATATAATAAAGGAAAAGCCTAACAACTATAAAAAGGCTTAATAGTCCAGGAATCAATAACATGTATTTGTTCTTGGGTAGCAGCACTTGAGGGGGTGATGTGCCATCAAGGTACCCGATATGGTTTGGCTGTGTTCCCACCCAAATCTCATCTTGAACTGTAGTTCCCACAGGCCCCATGCTTGTGGGAGGAACTCGGTGAGAGGTAATTGAATCATGGGGGTGATTACCTCCGTGCTGTTCTCATGAGAGTGAGTTCTCAGGATATCTGATGGTTTTATAAGGGGCTTTCCCCACTTTCGCGCTGAGCTTCCTGTTGCTGCCATGTGAGGGACATGTTTGCTTCCCCTTCAGCAGTGGTTGTAAGTTTCTTGAGGCCACCCTAGCCCTGCAGAACTGGAAGTCAATTAAATCTCTTTTCTTTAAAAATTACTGAGTCTTGCGTTTTTCTTCATAGTGCCATGAGAATGGACTAACACAGCATCTTGGCCAAGAGGTGCCCCTCTTTTGATACCTAAAGCAGGACAGAAAGTGAAAGAAGAGGGTAGGAATGAAGGCTTTCTTGAAAAGGCTCACCAGGAAAGAAAGGATGGGATGCTGAGACCGAAGCAGCCATCAGAACCATCCGGAGAGAGATATCCCCTCAAACTTCTCCCTGAAGACGGGTTGACATCTTAGAACACTTGACACCTGCTGCGGTCACTCCCATATTGCCCAGCCCCCAAACATGGCCATCCAAACCCAACACTGGTCATTCTCTCGGGCTTAAGGATTAGAATATCATGGGAACCTCTCAATTATGTTGTCCTTTAAAAAATTATCTCCACCACAGACATTCCAGTATTCATGGAGAACAAGCCTTTTAGGGTAATTTGGGTTCATTTTCTCTGGGAAGAAGTACAACAACCAGCATCCCTCCCTGTGACAACCCTTGAAACAAGGTCAAGGGCAAGCTCTTAAAAAAGGATTCAAACATGGCAGGGGAGGGCGTATAAAGAAAGTTTCCCCACGCTATATGGACTTAAACGGGGAATGACTGGCTTGTCTTGAATGTACCAGGCAGTTTTATGCCTCCATGATGTGGCCCAAAAGGTTCCCCCTGCCTTGTTTGCCTTTCTGCTCTAGTTCTAATCTGCTTTTGCAATCAGCCCAAGCATTACTTCCTCTGGGACGCTGTGGCAGGCTGCGTTATCGGCCAAGATATTCGCCACCCCTCCCCACTGGCCTGACCCTGTGGAAGGATTATACTTCTTGCTCCGCTTACAGCAGACCTAATCACATGACTTGCTTGGCCAATGAAACCTGAGAGGGAGTGACAGATGCCACTTTGCAATAGAAGCCATTGCATAGTTCTACCATTTTTATTTTCCCTCTGCCAAGAGACCATGGAGGAACTACGCCTTTACCCTTGGTTCCAGAAGGAACAGAGTTTAAAACAGAACCTCAGGAGACCTCTGGTGGACATGAATGTGAGAACGATAAAAGCTTTATTGCATTTTAGCCACTGCAATGTTAGAGTCATTTGTTACTGCAGCATACTGTAGCCCACGCTGACTGATAGATTAACCTGGGTGGATTTTAGCTTCTTCCCTTATGTTCTCATTGCACCTCATGTGCAATCCGGTCACACCAATTACCTCACTGTGATACAGTCATCTACTGTCTTCTCAGTGGACCTGAAACTCCTCCGCATCAGACTCCAGGTTGCCTCGGCTGCGTTCCCCCAGCTACGTTCCCCCAGTGCTTTGCACAAGTCATGGAACACAGGAGGCCCTCAAAAACGGGAAGTAATAAATGGCGAGAGAATCCTGAAGCTCTGCCCTGCCCTTTCTTCCCCAAGGACTGCAGTCCTCTCCTGAGGCTCTTTGCACATAAATCCCTGTCTTCAAGGTGACATTAGGTGACAAAATCAACTCAAGTCAAAAAACAAGTTGCTAACCTGTAAGAAACAACTATCCTAAGAATTCTGAGATGACAATGTGGCATAGAGCTTTCTGAAGGACATCCTGAAATTTCTAATGTTGCAGGCAACCAGATTCGACATCTCCATTAGGAAGGACCTGGGGAAACTGAGCTATCTGCCCAGACTTCTCTTTGGAGACTGATGGATCTTGTCTGCCAGGCAGTTTTGAAGCCTCCCAGGTCATGCTCCTACATAGCCTCTACTGCTGGAGCCTAGGGTTTTCAGCACCCAGCTCCAAAGTCCGGCCCTGCGGCCTCTCTCCTGGTGAGACTTCAGACCAGGTGACTACCGCCTGGAAGAGGGTAACAGGTCTGTCTCCCAACTCCAGGCTGGAGGAGGGACAAAGCGCCTCTCACAGTCCCTCCCTCAGAGGAGTGAGCAGATACCCTCTAGGGCAGTGTGTAACCACCAGCAGGGCACCCCTCGGTTGAGTACGTCTTCCTTTTCATAATATTTATTTTCTCATCCTACCTCTGTCTCCGTGTATCCAACACACTGCCTTATCTCAGACCTTGCGTCAGAAGCCATGTATCCCAGAGTAGGGAGCCCCAGGGCCAGGCCTTGCTGCCCAGTTACCAGGGGCAGCGAGTGCGTCTTCTGGGTGCTAATCGGAACCAAACCACAATATTTACCCCGGGGCGGACACGTGCGGGGCGATCTACATGGGAAGGGTGGAAACGAGCTGGTGTTTGGGCTCCATCTCCTCCTACACAGTTCCTGTTTGTTTTTCCACTGCCCTGTTCCAAGAAGGGGTACAGAATGGGGCCGTGCGGACAGTCTGCCTGTAGCCCCACTACGTCCCTCCGTGTCAGCACCCAGGTGGACTCGGGAGGCGGGGGTGTGGAGGCCCAGGGGAAGACACAGGCGTTTTCCATGCCTCGGGAGCAACCAGGTGCAGGATGGAGACCCAGGACTGAATCCTGTAGAGCGAATTAGGGGCACCGCAGGGCACACACAGCGGCTGGGCCAGGAGCGACCCGGCTCTGGGGTCCGGGCAGTGTGGGGGAGGGGACAGGTAAGTGGGTTGCCTGGCAACCCCGCCGACCCGCGGGTGGACAGGCTCAAGGGGCAGCCAGGAGCCACCCCCCCACCCCCGCCCCACCCCCGAGCGCACGCTGCGGAATTCTGTCGGCACGAAGCAGAGTCACGAGCGCAGCCGGAGCAGTGGAGCGGGCAGGACACCGTCAGCACCGGGAGAACACGAGCGCGTGGGTGGATGGGGGAGGGTCCTCACAACCAGTCGCAACCCCCTCCCGCACATCTATCCCTCATCCTGGCTCCTCCCCGCCCCAAATCTAGGGGAACAAAAACCCAGAGCGTCCGGGAGCGCTTCAGGGGGCACTAGGGAGGGGGCTTCCCCGGGCGGGGGGGCATCGCGCAGCCCCGGGCGCCCGATCCTCCGGCCCAAGGCGGCTTCCTCCCCACCTTCCTTCTTGCCCTCCACACCACCCGCCCCTTCTTCTCCCCGAGTTCCGGCTTGCCGGGCGCCGCAGCGCCACCCCCGCGCGGGAGCTCTCCGGACTGGGGCGGTTCGCAACGGCGCGGGGTCAGCGCCGCCGGGCGGGGCGGCACGGGGAGGGAGCGGGCGGGGCGGGGCCGCGCTGCTACGTCAGCAGCCGCGAGAGGGGATCCTGGGCGCAGGCCCCGCCCCTCACGTGCCCAGGGCGCAGGGCCTCGTGCCGCCCGCGTGACCTGAAGTCCTGGCCCGGCCGCCGCCTCCGCTGCTGCTCGGCTTCCACGCGTGGGAGGGAGGCGGTGGCGCGGGGGGCGGATGGCTTAAGGAGGCTGCGGGAAAGTCTTCCTCGGTGGCCGCGTCCCTGTCCCAGGCCTTGGTACCCTGGCAGTGCCAGGAGCTCTGTGTGGAGAGCTCTGTGCCCGCCTGGATTTGAGAAAAGGAGGTCTCCCCTCCCTGCGCCCTCTGCCCCTGCATTCCACGCTTGAGAGAAGGAGGCAGGGTAAGGGGCTCTTCCCCAAGGGATGAGTTGGTTCAGATTTAAACCTAAGTTTCGGAGATAGATGGCGAGGAGCTTTTGAAATTGGGGGTGGAGTCCCCACAGAGGTCCGTTCAGCCTCCATTACTGTGCCTGTGACCCTGGGTCAGGAAGTCCTGCCTTCTTGCAGCCTGGGCCCAGCCCAGTACCCAGCTGAGAGCATGAGCAAGAATCCAGCATCCTTTACGGTTCTTTGGTGGGTGACTTAGTGATTCCCTCAGCCACCACCCCCACCCCGACCCATTTCCCCTCCTAGAAATGACAGGCAGAGCATTTGGAAAGAAGCAGTGAGGGGTGGAGACCACGGACAGGCCAAGCCCCAAATTGGGCGTCCCCGGCAACAGAATCGAAGGAAACCCATTATCTGTGCCTTTGCAACGTGTCCTTAAGTGACCCATTTGCCTGCAAGGTGTCAGGTGCTGAGGGAATCCACAAAGCCTGTTGCTGTCTGAAAACTCGTGTCTCTACTAGTTGTTATTTTCAATAGCTGGTGAAATTGAAACCGCCTTTGCAAAAATTATAAAATTGTTACAGTGAAGGACATCTGACCTGACCGGCTCTATCTTGCTTCTGACCTCCAAACAGTCCCTTGTTCATTCCTGGGAGGGACTTACAGTTTAGCTTTGAAACAAAGATGATAACAGCCCTTTCTCAAGACAAACCCCCTTCTTATCTAGGGACCAGACTGCCTTTGTACAAAGTAAGTAACAAATTAGTTCTTAAGATTAGAAATTATGGTTTAGGAGTCATGCCGCTGGAGGCCACAAGCTTCTTAGCCTCCCCAGTTGCTCCTAGGGATGACATAACTTATTAGAAAATCTAAGATTGGTGCTGAAGATATTTTTCAGACCCTACAGTTGATGGATCAGCTGGCATCACCCAGATTGATAAACCGGCTGTCTGGTCCTGTGGCCCCTACCCAGGAACCCACGTAGCGCAAGAGGACAACTTTGAGGCTGTATGATTTTGTCTCTGACCAAGCCAATCAGCATTCCCCACTCCCTAGCCCTCTACCCGTCAAATTATCCTTTAAAAACCCTAGTCTGGAATTTTCAGGGAGGCTGATTGGAGTAATAATAAAACTCTATTCTCCTGATCAGCCGGTGCTGTGTGAATTCAACTTTCTCTACTGCAATTCCCTGTTGATAAATCTGTTCTATCTGGGAAGCAGGTAAAATGAACCTATTTGGAAGTTGAAAAATGGGGGTGGGGGGCTGCCTAGGTCACGGACTCCAGAGTAGAAGCCTCTAAAGTAAACCCTCTCCATGAAAAGCCATACATGGTATGGAAGAGAGCTTGGATTAGGGAGTTGGGGAAGCCACCTGCCAACCAAATACCAAGCACTGGAGGAGAGGCAAGGTGTGAGGCAGACTGGGGAGCATGTGGAATCTGATGGAAACTGACCCAGACCCATTCCCCCTCTCCCTGAGGGAAATCATAGGGTTGGTGCCTTAACTTTTACAGGATTGTATTTCCGAGGCAAGGGTTATTCCCCTAGGATAGTTCTAAGGAAGACAAAACCTAAGCTTGTTTATTGCTGGGATGGCCAGGAGTGGAGTAATAGGAAGAGAGCTGGGGGCAGGCAGTGGGTCCCTTTGGCTGCGTGTCTGGATTTCAGTGTATCTGGACAAGTGCCTTTCTACTGTTGGCTTTCCAGACTCACTTATATGAGGAACGGGAGTGGTCAGTTTAATGGATTGAATGGCTACTGAGCGCCTGACACTGTGGAGAGAACACAGGGAGTGCCAGTTATGTCCGCGATCGACAGGAATTTCTGTCTCCTGGGGGAAGTACTATGTTCTGGAAATACTTGACAAAATGTCAGTGGGTCTGTGAGGGTAAGAACCAACACGAGCAGTGTAGACAAGTGCTTTGATAGAAAGGAGAAAGCAACAGAGGCCAAGGGGCCAAAGAAGGGGGAAGATCTGGATAAACGGAGAGGAGCTTTGGGTGCTGAGAATTGCAAGAGCAAAGGCAGAGAGGAAGGAGTGTTTCTGGACAGCCCACTGGTCAGGAAGAAAGCTGGCTTGGCTGGAGCAAAGGGTGCAGGATTGGAGAAGGCCAAAGATCTGCTTGATGAATGAGTCTGCTGAGGCCCAGGGCAGAGGCTTCCAGGTTTTCTGTCAGCCCCACTTGCCCAGAACTTTGCAAAGCTCAGCACTGATCACATAAAACCATCCTCAGAAACATGCAGTGGCCCTCCATTGTTCAAATGCTATCATGGGACACAAGGCCTGTAATGCTTTATCCCAAACCTACCTGGTCAGCTTTACTCCTGTTCCACCTTTTCAGGCCCACCATATCCACAGAATTACCCCTGGGTCCTGAATGTGTCCTCTCCTTTCTCCCTTTTTTGCCTTAAATTGCATGCTTTTTCCTTTCTTTGGAAAGTTCTCTCCTCCCTCACCATTTCTGCCCACTCATCCTTGAAAACACAGCTCAAGTGCCAGCTCATCCCCCAGCCAGATGTAATTTTCATCTGAGTTTCCACAACATCGTGTACTCTATCTTGGCACCTCACGTTCCACGTTGTATTATGGATATGCAGAGACATCATCCTTCAAAGTAGATACGGCTAATTGGACCACTTCTCACCGCCTCCATCGCTGTCAGCCTATTCCAAGCCGCCATCATCTCTTGTCTGGACTGCTGGGATGGCCTCCCGATCAGCCCCGTTGCTTCCTTCTAGCCCTCTTTGGTCACTTCTCTCCAGAGCACCGGAGTGATCCTTTTAAAACATAAATCAGATCATGTCACTCTCTTGCTCAAAACCCTACAATGGTTTCTCATCACTTTCAGATGTTACTCAAGACTTAGTGTGAAGGTCAAGACCTATGTTATCTGGCCCTGTCTACCTCTCAGACACCTACCACCCTCTGCTTTGCTCACTAAGATCTGGCCACTCTGTCTTTCTTCCTGTTTCTGCACCATTCCAAGCTTATTTCTTACTCAGAGCCTTTGCACTTGCTGGTCTCTATAAATGGAGCGCATTTCTTTTTAGAATTTACATGGCATACTCCCTCACTTCATTCCTGTCTCAGGTCAAATACTTTCTCAGAGAAGCATTCCCTGACTACCTTATCTAGTATACGCCTTCTACCAGACACTCTCCATTTCCTTTTACTTTAGAGCCATTACCACTATCGGAACCATATTATGCTTATTTGGTTATTTATTTGTTTATTGCCTGTCACTACCATAGGAGGTTAACCTTTGTGATGTCAGAACTCCTGTCTCATTCACTGATTTAGAACCTTCCTCACATGTAGTAGGTACTCGGTTTCCTAAATGAATAAAGGGGTGAATGAATCTAAGCTCTGCTACTAAACTATATGTTCTTGGAGGGCAAGCACCATGCTTTATACATTTGAGTCCCCTTCTCCAAGACCTAGTTTCTGACACATAAGTCCACTCAAATGCTTGTCTGAATTTCAGATTCTGCAGAGAAGACCTCCAGCTGCTTTTCCACCATTAATGTAACTACACCTGTTTAAAAAAATCAGGAAATGGTCTTTACCTATCTTGTCACCTCCAGAGATGACTCAGTCTTCATCACATTGATCCCTGGGAAGTCTACAAGATCACAGCTTCTCCAGTTGTGGATCTCAAGCCATTAAGGGGTTGTGACCTACATTTTTTGATGACATAGAACAAATGAAGAATTAGAAGAGTGCATCGCAGGTTTTAAGGATAACTTTTTTTTTTTCCATTGTGGGTATTGTCAGGTCATGATATAAAATGAATATCCGACCGGGCGTGGTGGCTCATGCCTATAATTCCAGCACTTTGCGAGGCCGAGGCAGGTGGATCACCTGAGGTCAGAAGTTCAAGACCAGCCTGGCCAACATGGCAAAACCGCATTTCTACTAAAATACAAAAATTAGCTGGGCGTGGTGGCGAGTGCCTGTAATCCCAGATACTTGGGAGGCTGATGCAGGAGAATCGCTTAAACCCAGGAGGCGGAGGTTGCAGTAAGCTGAGATCCCACCACTGTGCCTGCCCTGGGTGACAAGAGTGAGACTCTGTCTCAAAAAATATAATGATAATAAAAAAAGTTAACATCTTATTGTTGACCATTGTCTGAAAACTTGAAAGTTCTAGATGCCCCGTAGATAGTCATTTTATAGAATGCATACCTATACTCTTAATATTTAAATAGCTAGCATTTATTGTGGGTTACTTTTGTGCTGGGCACCTGTGTTACGCTGTTTCACATGCATCGTCTCATACAGTCCTCATTACAGTTCTGAGAGGAGGGTCTTATTATAATTCTCATTTTACAAAGGAGGAAACTGAGGCTTAGAGAAATTAAGTAACTTGCCCATGATCACAAAGCTGGTAAACAGCTAAGCAGAAGGCCTGCTTCAGAGCTCTCCTTACCAGCTAGTCAGCCAGCAGGATTGTTTTTTTTTTTTTTTTTTTTTTTTTTGAGACAGAGTTTTGCTCTTGTTGCCCAGGCTGGAGTGCAATGGCGCAATCTCGGCTCACTGCAACCTCCGCCTCCTGGGTTCAGGTGATTCTCCTGCCTCCCAAGTAGCTGGGATTACAGGCATGCACCACCATGCCTGGCTAATTTTTTTTTTTTTTCAGTAGAGACAGGGTTTCTCCATGTTGGTCAGGCTGATCTTGAACTCCTGACCTCAGGTGATCGCCCACCTCAGCCTCCCAAAGTGCTGGGATTATGGGTATGAGCCCCTGTGCCCAGCCTCAGCATCTATTCTTTAATTTCATGTTTACTGAAAAAGCCCCCACAACCGTGGTTTATGTCAATAAAATAAACACGACTTACCCAGCATTCTGATGGGAGGTTTTTGGGTTTTTTTGGTGGCTGGTAGGCACTGCTAGGCACGTGGACTGTTGTCCCGTTAAGAGTTCCATAGACCTAGAGAGTTTGGGAATCACTGGTCTCAATGTATTCACACCAGTACAGAACTTGGATAGACTGGAACTGTAGCTGCCCCGGGGCCACCTGATAGGGCCACCTGAAAACCACCTTCTGTGGTTTTCACAGAAGGACACAGACACAGACAGTCCATTTCTTGGCAGGAAGGAAAGTGGGGAGTAAATACCCTGCCATACCTTCCTCCCATCTTTGGATTTCCCTCTCAGGGCTCCCATTGGCCAAACCAGGTATCAGGAGAGTCTGTTAATGCAGTCCCTAGAGGTCAACCTCCCAGAACAGAGTGGAGTGAGTGCGGGGTGGATCTGGAGGGCAAATGCAGAGCCCCCTGCTTACCATCCTCAGCACCAGTGCAGATTAACACAAACTCCCAAGGCCTTTGAATGCCAAGCCTCCGACTACTGCAATACTTCACAGCTGGCCCCAACTCTCACCTCTCCCTTGAGGACAACATCTGAACGGGCCAGGTGGGGCATTGTGCAGGCTTGGGCCACACTGCAAGCCCCTCCCTTGGCCCTGTCTTTTATTCACTAGGCAGCCAGTGGAGGAAAACCAGGCCAGAAAAAGAACCAGCCCCCTTCATCCACCTAGGCGTTTGCAGCTCTGCCAGCACTTGGGTATCTTGTTGGTGATCTAATCATGGACCAGGTCAGTGGGTTTTTATACAGTCTGGGGATTTGATTGGGAATGGTAGAAATTTCTTCCTGCCAGGATTTTGCTCACTTCCAAGCTGAAACCTCCTGGAGCAAGGAAGCAGGGCAAAGAGAGTGTGTGTGTGCATGTGTGTGTGTGTGTGTGTGTGTGTGTGTGTGTGTGTATTTGTGTGTGCCGGGAGAGGGACAGAATGCAATCTTTTAAAGGCATGTTCTTGCTGTTCATACTTACCCATCCTTGGCAGGCGAATGTCTGGCTGCGGTTGTGGCTAAAATATGAATGAATGTGGTGGTGTGCAGGTGCGTGAATGACTGTAAGTTTCTGTGAATGAATGCATTTGTGATGAAGAGTGCATGGGAGCCCTTGCGAGCCGGGATAGTTGTTTCCAGGTGCCTGGCTGGCTGGCTGGCTGGAAGCATCCACTGATCAGTATCTTTACCAAAGTCTATGAGTGTTGGGTTGAGGGGGGAGGAGGGGAATACTTTGCTTTCTCACAATACCTCCCTTTTGCTGCTGCCATTACTGCGTGGCAGCGTGAACCATTGACAATTTCCTTTTCCTCCCTGAAGCCCCAGAGAAGAAAGTCGGGGGAAAGACAAGTGAAAACATGTGGTCAGTCTGTAATCAGTTGAAGGCTCCTCCAGGCACCAGGAATTGTCCTTAGATAAACTCTAGTCACAAAGCCTCCTGACTAGCCCGTGGGGCTGAACGAGGGGCAGATGAGTGGTAGCTCAGGTTAGATTTTCTCTGACCTCTTCTGCCCTGACCTACTAGCCTGGTCAGGCAGAATTATTCATATTCTGTCCTTATCTGAAATGTTGAGATTAATAAGATCGTATTCCCTTATGTCTCACAACCAGATTTGAGGGAATGAAAGGAGGGGCCACATTCATTTAGGAAGTAGTGATAAGCAAAAATGATTGGGTGGTTACAAATTGAAAACCTGACCTCATGGGCGCATATATATATATATATAAAGTTAAGGGCCACTTAATTTTAAATCATATGATTTAAGTCTATTTTGGGATCCTCTTCTCCCCCACTGAAGGTCCCCCACAGCCTTTGTCATCCAAGTGGCCTCTGTGAAGGCCCCTATACACGATGGCCCCAATTAGTCCCCTCATTAACAGTCTCAGCAGAGGCCAAAGACTAAATGGGTCAGAGGAACCAAATTCTTCTATCATCCTGAGGCCCAAGTGAACATATCTGAGGAGGGCAAGTCAGGGAGGGAGGACTGAGAAGCAGGAAACGTGGGAAATGAAGACTTTACAAAACTATTGTGAACTATCTCCTCTGAAAACAGAAAAATCCAACATTCCCCAACACCCCCCCATCCCGCTCCCAACAAATACTTTGAAAGTGGCATCTTTCACCCACTTTGCTTCCATGGGGAGGCACTCCGTATTCACATATGTAATCCATAGGTATATATAAAAATGTATCATTGTGAAATGGACCAATGAAAACTGGATTGTTAGCTAAATGAAGGGAGCAGTTGTCCCCCCCACCCCATAAAAAGCAGATGTTTAAATAAATGCAGATTTCAATAATACAATATCTTATCAGATTGCATACTTAAGTCCCCCAGATGAAACCTAAGCCTATTTTGGTGGGCTGCTGTGCCTTTCCTGCCAAGCAGCTACGAGAAGGAAGGAATATCCCAGAACCCTTGCTTATGAATGTACTGTCTCCGCTGAGTGTGAATGTACCAGTGCTTCGTGTTTGTATGAATGGGGGTTGCATGTGCTGGTCAGAGGCCACGTGAGACACACGGCGGGTGGGGGGGGGATTATGTATTTAAAACATGAATTGGAAAAAATGAAACGGAATATATGAATGGCATAAATGGAACCCATGGCACCCTCTCTTTTTTATTACCCACCACCACAATAGGGCCCACCTGTTTCATTAAAATTAATTTCTGGCTTTGCAAATATCAATAGATCAATATCTGTACTTGTGTTCCACCCTTCCCTGGGACCATTCTGCTAAAAACAGAGAGCTGCAACACAAAAGATACCGCAGTCAGCTCAAGCAGGGGGTTATTTTTAGATCAGAAAAAAGAGAGGAAAGAAAAAAAAACAGAGGCAGTTCTGGGTTTTGCAATCTAATTTGGTCTCTTTTCTTAAGGAAAAAAAAAATCCCATCAATGGCATTTTCCATACATCTGATTTCTATTTGGCTCCTAGAAAAAGAAGAAGAGATCTAGGGCTGAAAATTCTGGAGTTTTATGGCTGATTCCAGCTAGTATCCTTTCTTCACCAGGCTCCAACTGAATTAATTTGATACTATTTTTGAAAGTCAGTGTTTCTAAGGGAGACCTAATGACGCACTGACGTCAATGCAGGTCAATAGCACACACTGCTGGAACTGGGCGTGCTACACTGAGCCAGGGCTGGAGCCTTTTCAAACAGCCTCAACTCTGCAAATATCCCAGCTTTGCAGGGGGAAAAAAGCCAGGGTTTTGTAAGCATTGAGACCCCCACCATTTTTCCCGAACACCTTCGAAATTGATGCATGTTTTCTAGATGCGAAAAATGAAAGAAGAAAATCCAAACAGATATAATCAGACGCACTGCAGTGCAAAAAAAAAAAAAAAAATCATACCTGTCAAAGGAACCGTATGTAATCCGCACACACACACATTTACGTTCAGAATGCAATACATATCATTAGGGTCTGTCTATAAATAGACCCGAGTGTGTGTGCATCGGGACTTAGTTCCAAACGGGGTTTTCAAACGTGGGTGATGAGTTCTTTGCTCTGATCAGTTACTCAGAAGGTGCCTGAATGTGTGGGGGTGGGAGCGTGGGAGGGGGCTGCCTCCTCTCTCTCCTCCTTCCCTTTGGCTCTCCCCCTCCTTTCTTCTCCCTCCCTCCCTCCTTCCCTCCCTCTCCCCTTACCTCCCCTCTCCTCTCCCTCTCTCATTTCCTCTTTCTTTCTCTTCTTCTCCCTCTCTCCTTCAGCATCCCCCACCCTCTTTTTCTCTCTCCCCCTCCCTCTCTTTCCTCCCTCTCACCCCCTCCCTCACTCCCCCACCCTCTCGCTTCTCCCTCTCCCTCCAAGTCTGGCACTGAACGCGAACTGTTTTGCTTTGCTCTGGGAAGAGTGCAGAGACACACAACGTGAAATCCCGAGCTTTTTGCGTGGTGCATTTAAAATGCTTCCTTATTTATATTACCCTCATTCCCTCACCTCCCCCCACCCCCTCACCAGTCCTTCCAAATTTCCCTAGAAATCTATGTAAAGCATGCGGAAGGGAAAACATTTGCACAAAAAGTGAAGGAGCTCGCCAAGGTAGGTTATACCATGCACTGTCTTGTGTTTGGCTTTTGCAAAGTTTATGATGTCAGTTGGTGAATGTTTGGAGGAGTAGATCTGTATGACTGGCCATGATTACTGTCTTTTTCACTGAACAATTATCTTTGTACAAATTGCCTAGACTTCTTGGGCAGGCTTTCCTGGGGTCTTGCGTGTGTGGTTTTTGCAGGAGGCATGCCAGCTGAAGACCATCCTGTGCTGTTAAGCTGGGGAGGGGACGCCGTCTTGGCTCCCCCCCACCCTAGTGTTCTGTGGTTTGGGGTGGAGGGTGGAGGGGTATTCTGTAGTGGACATGGGCTTCTGCCACTTGGCCGTATCTTGGATTGATTCTCATTCACTGAGTGTCTTAATTCTTGGAATTATTTTGCACATGAAAATTTAGTTCCAAAAAGGCTCCCTGAAGTCAGAGCAAAGTGGGGAGGGGGGGAGATAAAGAAGCAGGGTATGGTGGTGGTGATGGGAGTGGTACCACGTCTTGCATAGAGAACTTAATTTTCTCCCCACTCTTTGGAGAAAATACTAAGTCTTTAGCGGGTGTAAGCAAAATCATTTTTGTTTAAAACCTTATTCGTGGGCAAAATGAAATTTAAAATAAATGTTTCCATTGCAAGAGCAAAACCTGCTACAGCTCACAACCACCTGTAGAGGGAAATCTTTATGCATGATTTCTTAAGGGTTGGTTGTGTAGAGGAAAACCGCCTGAAAAGGTTCCTGACAAAGTTTGCAGCAGGAAAGACGAGAGGCTGGGCCCTGTGGGGTGAGGGGTTAAAGCTTGGGGAGAGGGGGGCGGCAGAGAAGGAGGGAAAGGCTGGAGCTCAGCCAGGGTCTGTCAGTCTGGGAACCCTCAGGGCTGGCCTGCAGGCTTTGAGGGGCTGGTGCTGAAATGGGGCGGGGAGCTTGAGGTGGAGAAGCTAAATGGGGCCGGGGGCTTGCAGAATATTTGTGTGTCGTGGGAGGAGGGGCGTTCTCTGAGGTCCAGGATTCTGTGGTGCCTGGGGCCATGTGATGATAGGGAGGTCACGGGCCAGTTTTTCCGTTGGGTTCTGGTCCTCCCAGCTCCTCCCTGCTGCTGCACAAAGCGAGGTGGTTATCAACAAGTGTTTCTCCTGAGAAGATTAGTTTCGACAGGGACTTCAAGGGGTTTTTTAATCTGGATAAATCCACCAGGGCTTTATTGTGTGTAGCAAAGAGAGTCATTCTTTGTTAGGAAGGAGCTTGGGGAAGAGAGGTGGAGGGGTGGAGAGAGGGGGCTTTTGAACATCAGCCATTTGACCTGGGGGCCAGAGTTCAAATCCCCTAGAGGGCTGAAAAGGTTGAAAATGTTTCGTTCTCCCTTCTGCCGCCCCCGCATCTTTCACCCTGAGCTTTGTGTTTAATGGGGAAAATTCAGCGCCTGGTGTGGGCCAGACCTCATCAATGGGAATTCCATGTGTCTGAGAGCAGGATTTTTTTTTCATCGAGGGAAGCAGGCAGCACTCTCAGCTGTAGTACTGTAATTTTTTTTTCCCCTGCAAATGATCTTCTAGGAAAGCTGAATCACCTCCACTCTGAGGAGCAGCCACTTCTGGGAGGTGGAACACAAGGGGGAGGAGGGAATACCCCCTCCTCCATGGTCCTTAAATATCCGTTTGGGGGCACTACTTGAATATCTAGTTCAGATGAACCTGGAAATGTAACGAGGGTTCTTTGGACTGGGCTGGTAGTTGAGAAGACCACTGAACACTGAACGGGGATGTTAATTCTGCAGGAGTAAGGTAGTGGCTTTTAATTTTGTGCTTGGGGTGCGGGGGCGGAAGAGGGGGCGGGAGCAGCTGGCTGGGTCATCAAATTAACATGAGAAGGGAATCTTTTTCAGCAGGGATGTGGGAGATGTGGGGAGGGTGCTTGGAAGATAGAATCAGTTTGCCATTGCTACCCCCCACCCCAAATAACCAAAAGGCAAGGAGTACAGATGAATAAATGGGAAGTGAAATTCGGGTCCAGACCGTGATTAAGCCTGCTGTTGGTATGCAGTTCTGTCTCACTAAATAAAGCAGAATGGATAGTGGCTCCATCCCTGGACCTACTGGTGTAGGGTACAGCCAGGCCAGCTGGCCTGACACCCACTGTCCACATCCCTGAAGGTCCTGCTCCATCTTTTAGCTAGTGGAAGAAGGGGGATGGAGAGTCTTCCACAGCCCAGAAGCATCAGGTTTCTTTGTGTTGCACTTCTCAGAAGGAAATTGTTTCTGTTTTTTGCTTAAGTCAACAAGTATTTGTCTCCCTTTGATATAAAGGTTGTGGGGGAAGTGATTACAAAAAAAAAATCTGGTTCTGAAATTATAGCCATCTGCCCTCCATAGTCCTCCAAGTCCATCAGAATCTCTCTCTGCTCTCAGCTATGGTCCTCTGGGGACCAAGTTTCAGAAGGATAACACCTCAAAAGTATTTTACGTCCGACGGCCTTCCCTCTGGAGATCCATGGAAAGACCACCTCTCTTAGGTTCTACCAGGTGCCCAAGCTCCTGTCACATGCAGACATGCATGTGCAGTGTACATGCACATATATGTGCAAAGACCACAGCAGTATGCACGCGGGTACCCAGGGTTCTCTCCACATGTCAGCTCATGAACCACACACACGAGGAAACAGACCTTCTTCCTCTCTGTCAAGTCCGAAGATGGCAGTTGAGACATGCCTCACCAGTTTAGGGGTGGACCTGATGTCCCTGAGTGTATGCGGTGAACCTGGATTTCCCTTGGGTTTCCTCATACTCATTCAGGAGTGTCAGTTGCCCCTTCATGCGACGTTGGAGAGCATTGCAGCAAGCAGGTGTCTACTCATTTATGGCGAGAATGAAGTCCAACTTATCTCCATCACCTTGGATGAGCCCTGATGCTTGCCCTATTTCTCAAAAGAAACCTAGGGGCAGGGGCAGAGCCGGTTATATAATTCACGGGCTCCAGCACAAAATGAACACATAGGGCCCCTTGTTCAAAAGCAGGAAGAAAGTGCCGAAATATAATGCTGTTGTCTTTCTTCCACAATCTCTCTCTAGAATTGTCATGGTGGTTTTTTATTTTCTCTTTTTCATGTAGTGAAAAATAAACATTTTACATTTTTAGCATGAATTTTACTATTCATCTTTATATTGTGTGATGCCAGTTGTAAACGTAAACACAAGAGCATTTAACTAGTTTGTAGAATCACCGAAATTACATGATTATTTCATAGGTCATATATGCCTAGGTATTTCAGTCTTACCAGAACAATGGAGACGCTGAACAAAATGAACTCCACTGTTTTTATTTCACTTCTTGATACAAGCACTTTGTATCAGCGCGCTCCACCTTCAGCTTGCTGGTGAGAAATAGCTATGGATTGCTCCATCTTCACCTCTCCTTCTGTGTCATCATTATCAGCATAGGTGTTTGGCAGACACAGGGAAGGAACATAAGAAATGCTACTCTAGAGTCTGTTAGTCATTAGTGTTTCTTAGAACTCCACTGCCTTTCTTCTGCATTGGAAGCATCTGGTTCAAACAGAAAGCATGACCCTGGGCACTGTCCGTGTCCCCGTCTATTTAGTCATAGGCTTCCTTTCCATTCTACTTGCCCTGTGTCTCGCTGAGCTCCCACTGGAATTCTGTACTCATAGGCCGCTGCCAGCACTGTGGGGCAGGAACGATGGATGAGCACACACATTCTCCATTATCCCGTAGACTTCACTTACCGAACATGGGTTCAAAGACAAAATTATTAAGAGTTCAAGACAATAACAATAGAATCTTAAACCAAGCATGGAACCCTCCTGAGCCCAGGGCACTGCAACTACACAAGTCAATCCCGGCGGGAGGAAGTAGGAAGTAACCCAGACCTCAGTCTGGAAACCATATTACTCATCTTCCTTCATCACACGAATAATTGCATCTGCAGCAAAAAACTTTAGCAGCCTCATTTTTTGACCCATTGGGGCTTTCTTCTCTTCTAACCAAGTACCGCTCTGTGACCATCCACCACTTCCTGGTGACGCTGTCACAGCTTTGAAGGGAGAGTTCATTTCCTGATCTCTTCTGGGTCCACTGATGCCTTGGTTTAGGGCCCAGGCCATGCAGATTAAGTATTGGTTCCCATTCCCACCCGCCACTTTCAAGCTTGGTTCCATCCAGCAGATACCCTGACTGATCTGTACTTAGGTTTTACCACCTAAAAGCAATAAAATATATTTGGCTTGCTTCATGAATAATTGTGCTAATTATTTAGTGCTGCTTCTTGTTTATCTCACAACTGCTATGAGGTCTGCCCAGGGGTCTCCTGGCCCAGGATGACAAGTTCTCAGAAATTACTTCGGCAATAAATTCACTTGATGTTGATGTGGAAGAAGCAGGGTTTGGTGCTTAAAGGGTCAAGGGGAAGACGGGCTTACATTCCTGATGGACCCAATAAAAAGAGAGGTTTTCCTTCCTTCATCAACTGCCTTTTGCTCCTCATCTACTAGGAAGCAAAGCTAGAGGGCATCTTAGAGAAGTGGCGGACTAGTGAGTAAATAAAATAGCATCAAATACGCATCCAACCTAGAGAATGAAGACTATCGACCCTTCATCGTTAGTTCAGGGACTTGGAGAGCTTTTGAGAGTTGTGTTTTTCAGGCTTAATATAGCTTTTCTTTCTAGCCTGGTCCTTCAGGTGACCCCAACACCCTTCTGAGAAATACTTACCTTGGTCTAGGCTACTGAGAGTAACTAGAAAAAAAGAAGAATTATTCTTGTTTATTCTTTTATAAAACCTTTACCAGACTTGGAGGCTGCTGCAGCGACAGTCGGGTAGTGACCTGGAAGTCCAGTCAGTGAGGAATTATTGACTGTTTACAAATGAGCCTAGCACCGTGCTTGACCCATGGTGGGTGTTTAATAAATGTTAACTGGCTCAGAGTAGATCTCATTATTGTAGCACTATGTTATAGTGAAAGACACATGAATTTGGCATCAAACCACATC